GTATCAAACAACAAATTTTTAATAAATCAATGAAAAATGAAAGAGTTTATCAGGCATGTTATTAAAAAGTAGCTAAAATAACATTTATTGAGCTCCTACTGTGTGCCAGGCATTGTTTGAGTTAGTATAAGTTTAACTTTCAGCCTAACTTTAGAGCTAACCCTCTGGAAAATATGACCACCATCTCCTTTAATCCTTTTTATACAAATAAATGTATAAAAGTGGATTAATGATAAGAAGTGTTTTATAATTTTTTAAATATATTTTTATTGCTTTCAGAGAAGAAGGGAGAGGGAGAGGGAGAAACATCAATGATGAGAGAGAATCATTGATTGGCTGCTTAATGCACACCCCCTAAGCCAGCAACCTGGGCATGTGCCTCAATAGGGAATCGAACCATGACCTCCTGGTTCATAGGTCGATGCTCAGCCACTGAGCCACGCTGGCCAGGCAATGTTATGAAGTTTAATATTAACACAGAATGGAAGTAAATTCTGCAGATAAATAGGAACTTTTTATACATACCACACCCCATTCCCTGCCAGGTAGTTGATAATTATCATGAAGACCAAATGATTGAATGCACAAGCACTTCCATGCAAGGCTTATTTTTATTTCTTCCTTCAATCTAGCTCAGTAGGTATTTTTCAAATTATAAACTGAAAAATGCTTAAACCACACATGATTTTAGATTATATATATAATATCTGTTTGTGTGTATGTTTGTATGTGTGTACCATCCATACAAATCAAAGAAGCTTTTAATCATAATGTTGGTTCTTCCCTCCCAACTAGGAAGCAACTCCTCTGTATCTCTTAACTAATTTAATCCTCACAACCATCCCTCTGAGTTGGGCATTATCATCTTTAGCTTAACATAACAAGAAAAATAGATTTATTGTTCACAGTAGTAAACAATTAATATTAATAAATATGAACTGACATCATTATTCTTGTTGAAATTGATGGTAAATATGGGTAGGACAGTGAGCCTACTTCTGTCAAAATATTTGGTACATGACCTATAGCAATATTAAGGGGATAAAATTAGGACATTAGTCTTTATTCATGATTTGTCTGGTCCTCATATGTAAATGTAATCTAATTCTTTCATTCTAGATGTTCAACTCAGATAACTGGAATTAATGTGGTTTTCAATAAATGCCAAGGAGGCAGTTGTATAACAAAGTCTTGTGAATGTGATTCACGGTGAGGGCTGTATGAAGCAAAATGTACATTCATCCCAGAAAAATCCCAGACTGCAAGGGAATCCATAATATTTATGCAAAGTCTTGATTCTGTAAGTACATTGTCTTTCAAGGATCACAAAAAAAATCTTTGGGAAAAAAAACTAATTGGAAAAGCTGGATTTTCTACCATGAAATTATGTAAACCAATAGAAATGAGGAAAATTACTCAGTTAACAGCCATTTTCTCCAGCCTGGGTCAGGTGTGTCTGGAAAATATTCCACTCTTCCTTGTTAACCTATTTCTTTTCTTTAGACTTGGAACTGTACCCTTATCATTGGTGTCACAAACTTTCTTATAACACCTCTTCCTTCATTTGATTCTGTAGGCTTGTGTTTAAAACTACAACCTTACTTTTAATTATCTCTTACTTTTCCAAAGTAATTTATTCTGTAGTTTAGAAAGAAATAACACCCTAGAGTTTCCATTATCTTCATATTAAAGCATACCAACTTATTGCAAATGACATTGTGAAAACATATATGGCTCTGTCTCTACAGAACAGACTTTAAAAAGTTCACAATTACATATCTGACCAATTGAAAATTAACACAGTAATTCAAGTTCCAAAGCGAATACTGAACTGAAATATCTGGTTTAAATATATAAAGCTCAGTACAAAAGAAAAGGTGTCTCAGAATCAGATAAATTTGATATAAAAACTGGGTCTGTCATTTTCAAGCTGTATCATTATGAGCAAACTGCTAAATCCGAGATTTAGTAATTACATTTTATATGTTTTTTAATATAAATTTTTTACTTACTATACCTTAAACACTCCCCCCAGGGAAAAATGATTCCATGACATAAATTTTAATGGTTGTATCATATGCATATATCGTAATTTAAATAACTTCTTATTATTGAACATTATGGAGATTTTCAAATTATTACTAAAATTCATGTGGCAAAAACATTTTTGCAGGCATTTTAAAAATATTTTCCTTAGCAGAAATTCCTGAATATAAAACTGTTAAATAAAAAGTATATATTTTAAGGCTTTTCTTAATAGAACATGCCTGATTCTTAAATTTTTTCTTTAACATTACTTCTTTTTAATAAAATGAAAGAATTAAATTCTAAAATGCAGTAATCAATTGTTATCATGATCTTTGACCCCTACACTTTCTTTCAATATGTCAAGATTTGAGGAGACTCAGGAATTGTTTAGACATCTTTTTCTTATAGGAAAACCATCTCTTTCTAATGAATCAAGCATCAGAACTATTCTTGATTCAAATTATTGAAATGGGATCATTGGTTGGGATGGTCACATTTCACAGTTGGACTACAATCCAAAATTATTTTACAAAAATGTCTGATGAGAATGCTTACCAACACATCACTGCAAGTCTGCCTCAAGTAGCTAATGGTGGAACTTCAATTTGCAATGGATTCAAAGAAGGATTCCAGGTAAATTTTTAAAAATGTTTTTCTAGTCCAAATGGTGTGGAGTGACAACCCATGAACCCAGAGGTCATGGTTGGATTCTGGGAAAGGAGGTTAGGGGGTTATAGTCTCTATCCCCAGTAAGGGGGCATGCAGAAGGCAGCCAATTGATGATTCTCTGTCATCATTGATGTTTCTCTCTCTCTCACACTGGCTCTCCCTTTTTCTCTGAAATCAATTTAAAACACCATATTTATCACACAAAAAAATGCTTTTCTAAACATCATTTGTCATTTACCATGGTTTATATTTTTGTCCAGCCATCTTTGTACAAGGGTCAAGAACTCATTTAAATATTTTTTAAAGCATTTTATCTTTTTTTTTTTTTTAATATATTTTATTGATTTTGTACAGAGAGGAAGGGAGAGAGATAGAGAGCCAGAAACATCGATGAGAGAGAGTCATCGATCAGTTGCCTCTTGCACACCCCCACTGGGGATATGCCCGCAACCAAGGTACATGCCCTTGACCGGAGTCGAACCCGGGTCCCCTCTGTCCCCAAGCCGACGCTCTATCCATTGAGCCAAACCGGTCTCGGCTGAGTGGAGATTTCTCTGATTCTATTATATTCAACAGTTAATATTGTTTCTCAGATTTTTTTTTTTTTTTTAGTTTCCTTGGTTTTTAGATTCACTTGTTGATAGTTACGTATTTGTTGTTCATAATTTTTATCTTTATTTACTTTCTCTTCTGAAAGAACCCCCTTCAGCAATTCATATAATTCTGGTTTGGTGGTGATGAACTCCTTTAGCTTTTTTTTTATTAGTGAAGCTCTTTATCTGACCTTTGATTCTGAGTGATAGCTTTGCTGGATAGATTATCTTTGGCTGTAGGTTCTTGCTATTCATAACCTTGAATATTTCTTGCCATTCCCGTCTGGCATGCATGGTTTCTGTTGAGAAATCAGCTGACAATCGTATAGGTGCTCCTTTATAGGTAACTACCTTCTTTGCTCTTGCTTCTTTTAATATTCTCTCTTTGTCTCTTGCTCTTGGAATCTTAATTATGATTTGTCTTGGTGTGGTCCTCTTTGGGTTCCTTTTGTTTGAAGTTCTGTGTGCTTCCTGGACTTGTAAGTCTAATTCTTTCACCAGGTGGGGAAAGTTTTCTGTCACTATTTCTTTCAGTATGTTTTAAGTATCTTGCTCTCTCTCTTCTGCTGGGACCCCCCATAATTCTGATGTTGGTTCACTTGAAGTTGTCCCAGAGGTTTCTTCAACTTTCTGGATTCTCTGGCCTTCTTGCGTCTGCGGAGGAGTGTCTTCTGGCTCTTTATGTTCCAAATCTTTGACTTGATTCTTGCGATCTTCCAATCTGTTTTTAGGACTCCATAAAACATTTTTTATTTCAGACAATGTATTCTTTATTTCTTGTTGATCCCTTATTATTTCTAGTTGATCCCTTTTCATATCCTCATAGGTCTTGTTTATTTTATCGGCCTTTTCTAGGAGATTCTTGAACAACCTTATAAGTGTGGTTTTGAACTCTATATCCAGTCGCTTTTTGTCCTCCATTTCTTTCGTTTGTGATCTATTTGGTTTAGGCATTTTCGCAGGCAGCTTTCCTGATGGGGCGGGGTTTCAGGGTGGAGCCTACAGCCTTGGCTTCCGTCAGCCACGCCCTATGCGACTCCTGAGACTCAGGGTCCTTCAGTACTTGTTGCGAGCGCCTCTGAGAGAAAGGTGCCCTTGATTTTCGCCTGCTGCCAAACTGTCTATGCTCTCCCCCAATGAGTCCGGTATTGGGGTTCAGTTCAGTTGGTAGTGGGATTGGAAGTGGCGTTCAGAGCAGTCTGGAGCCCCTGTCTCCTTCCCGTCAGGGCAATCCCGCGGCACAGCCGGCCGGCCCTTCTCTGCGCGCAGTGTACGCGCCTCCGGGACCTCCTTTCGCCGCTTCCCTGGAGTCCCGCCTTACAGCCCGGCTCCCTATGGATGAGCCTGGGTCCCCGGGGTCTGGCTTAGAAATGGGGTTCAGAGCAGTTGGAGCTGGGCCCAGCACAGTCGGAGCTTTTCTCTCCTTCCCGCTTGGGACCGCCAGCCAGGCACTCAGCCTCCCTCCTCTCCGGCTCTGTCCTCTCCGCGCGCGCGCGCCTCGTGTCTCCGTACCTTGGGCTTTTACAGCTCCTCCGCGCTTCCTTCTGGTTTTCTCCTTGCTTCTTGTTGTAGAATTTCCAGTCAGTCGACTTTCCTGTAGTTCTGGGTAATTTCCATTTTATATTTTAGTTGTATTTTGTTGAAATTGTTGTGTGCGGCTGCGGCTAGTTGCCTACCCGAGCAGCCATCTTGGATTCTCTCTTAAATATTTTTTTAAAAGACTCTCCTAAATCTGCTGTTTAAAGCTGGAGCCTCTTGAGTTGCATTGGGAGTAGTTAAGTAAGGAAGGAAAATCTAGTGCATACATAATCACCATGATTTTATTGAGGAGCTCTCCATTTCTTTCTCACTCCCATCTCCCACACTCATAATTTCTATGAGTAGAAAATAATGCTGTTAAGGGAATTGTGAAAGAAAAAAGTTAGTAATATTTCTGTATTATGGGATAAAAAAAAAAAAACAGTTCTTCAAATTAAATGGATATCTGACAATAACAAATATAGAGGTAGTTACTAAGCAGTATAATACCAAACTCAAGACATATAGGTGGAAGTTTAATGAAATAAAATTGTAAAGTCAAAATTTGGAGTGACTTTTGAGCCTCTGGTACTCATTTGCATTTCTTCCAATCTAAAGTTAGTCTATATTTAAGCCTATTTATTGTCATTCTTTAAGTCCCAAAAATAATAAAATGCTTTCTTTCACTGCCTCAGCTAAAATGTAGAGATTGTTACCTTTATCTAGACCACTAATTAATAACACTTCTTAGCTTTCTTCATGATGTCTATTTGTTGTAAAGCCTATTAGTTTAAGAAGGCACTCAGGCTCTGGATTCAGACAAACCTGAAATTCTGGCTCTACTATTTCTTAGCTAAATAACCTTGAAGTTACCCAACTCAGAAACTCTGTTTTCTCAACCAAGGAAATGTGGAAAATAATAGTACCTATCTCATTTAATTGTGAGAATTAAGTAAGATAGATAAGTCTCAAGAAAGAATTGCTATTATTATAATAACCATAATTCTTAATACATATAAACTGTCTATTCACTTCTAAAATATGACAGTACTATATATGAAATGCATCATATTTGCACATATTGGTTCACACATATTTTCTTAATATATTTTTATATATATACTTTGACCACAGAGTCTATTGCTGAATAGATCAGTCAAATCATATTCAAGCTATAAATACCTTTGAATCACTTATGTAATAAAACCATATCAACATATAAGCATTTTACTTACATAATCATTACAGTAATAATTAAAATTTATAGTGTGTATACTATATTCTTAACTACTAGAGGCCTGGTGATAATCACTTATGTAATAAAACCATATCAACATATAAGCATTTTACTTACATAATAATTACAGTAATAATTAAAATTTATAATGTGAATAGAATACTACATTATTAACTACTAGAGGCCTGGTGAATGAAATTAGTGCACTGGGTGGGGGGAGGGGTGTCTCTCAGCCTGGCCTGTGCCCTCTCACAGTCCAGGAGCCCTTGCTTCTTACTGCCCACACTCTGCTCGCTGCTCCTTAGCACTGCTGCAGAGACGGGAGAGTCACCAGCCACGAGCCCAGCTTCTGGCTGAGTGGCACACTCCCATGGGAGCATACTGACCACAAGGGGCAGCTCCTACATTGAGCTGCATTGAGCATCTGCCCCCTGGTGGTCAGTGCGCATCATAGTGAGTCTTTCTGGTTTTTCCACCATAAAAGCTTAGGCTTTTATTATATAGATATTAAATGTTTTACATAGATGATCTGATTTTACCTCATCATTACTTTTTCAGTTGGTTACCATTATTATGCCCATTTTGTACCTTAGGAAACTAAGGTTCAGAGTAACTAAATATCTTTATCAAGATCATATAGTCAGTAATTGGCAAATCTAATATTCAAAACCTAGTCTTCCTTACTCCAAAGTCCAAAAAGTTAATCACTACACAGAGCTATAATAGAACTCTATTATGTATCAGAGAGAGAAAGAGGCAGAGAGTGAGAAAGAGAAACAGAGAGTGAGATTAACACTAGCTATTCTATTTAGCAAAAGGCCAAGCTGGACCTTACTCTCAATGTGTCTGATTAAAGATCTTGGCCAATATGCTTGGTAGAACTCAGGAAAAGATTTAAAAAAAAAACAAAAAGCAATATTTGATATATTTATGAACTTCCTTCTCCATGGAAAGTCAATGTCATTTTCCAGGAAAAAATGAGATTCTTCAATGATCTACTAACATGTCTAAAAGGCTCACATCATATCATTTAACCTTGCTCACCTACCTCTAGTCATGAATTTGCAAGTGCTATCTAATCTAGTCAGCAGCCTTCTAAAACTGCCTGAGTCATATACCTCCAAACCAAAAATCTTCTGGGATAATAACAGCTAACATTCACTGAGTACTTACTATGTGTTAAGCATTTCTCTAAGTGTTTTACTCTTCCTCTTTTCTGTAGTTTGACTATAATGGAAAGGAATAAAACCATTAATATCTTATCTCTGAAAGTAAACAAGATCATTGTACTTTTTTTTTCCCCCATGCCAACTCAGCCTGGAGTGGCAATGCAAAACAATTTTCTTTGGCTGACTCTGATGCAAAGGCCTGAAGACTTTTCTAAATAACAAGTTTATTCTTAGTTTGAATTTATCTAGATATGTTCTGTAATTAATAGTTTGGTTTTTCACTATCAAGCAATTATCCAAAGTAACCAGAGGACTTCTGGTTCTGAAATCCTATTACTAACAGATGGGGAAGATGATGAAATAAGCTCAGGCTTCAAAGAGGTGAGGCAAAGCGGGGCGATCATCCACTCCATTTCTCTGGGACCTTCTGCTGCCAAAGAACCGGAGACCCTGTCATATATGACTGGTAAAACTTTAGAACACAGTTTGAATAGAAAATACAATACATTGTAGTCTCTCCTACTCCAGGGGGCTTTCTCCTTAAACTACAAAACTGCTCAAAAATTTCCTATTCTAAAAATTAATCTTTGTTGCTTTCTTGTCCCTGATCTTCAAATCAATAGCTTTCCTTTTCACCCCCTCACTTCTCTCCATTTCTACCTATACTGAATTCTTCTATTAGTCAACATTTTCTGTCTTTATTCATTTCTTACCATTTTTTTACCCATCCAAATTGAAACTTTTTTCTAAATGGTTTCTAAGGGCTTACTCAACTGCAATTCCAAAATTCTTCCTCAATATCTGTCCTGCTCAATCCTTGTTATATATGTTGATATATAACATCTATTCAGCAATAGACTCTGTGGTCAAACGTGTTGGTGGTTTTTCTGTTGCTGGTAGGAGTGGGGGTCTTGGAGTACTGCTGGAATAAGCATTTCTGGAGGCCCCCACAGGAGGATGAAATGTGGTAGAAAGCTTTATTTTCATGAAATTATGTCTCTCAGTTTTCAAAATCTCTACTTCCTTTATTATCATAACCAAGTACCAAAGGTACTTGAAAAATATTGACTAGGTATGAGTTATATAGACTTAATTCTTAGCGCCTCAATGGAAATATTCTCTCAAATTTTGAAAGTTAACTAATTAATATTTGTATGTAAACAGTCTATAGAGAAATTTTAAGTCATTGAAGTATGAACTTGACATTGCTATTTTGCATAGTCATCTATCATGATCAAAATATGAGGCTTTTCTACCCATGGTATTCACAAAATTAATATTTTTCTTAAACTGAGACATTTATAACAAAAGTAATAAAAACTATGATTTATTGAACTGTAATTTATTACATGCCAGGGACTATAGTAGGCACTTTCCATATATTTTCCCATTTAAACTTTACTTCAGCACTGTGAAGCAGGAATTTTATTACATCTCCACTTAAAACTAATAGAGAACTAAGGTTCAAAGATATGTAATAATTTGCCCCTAATCAGACTAAAGCTAGTAAATGGTGATATTGAGATGCAAACCCAGGTGTACCCAATTCCAAATCTATGCTCTTTCCATCACCATCCTAATCCTTTCTATTAAACAACATCATTTATTTAGCTGTCACATAAACAAAACCCTGAGTTCCAAGTGGCAGTGAATTGACAAGTCTTCCTTTGACAAGTCTCCAATGCTTTTAATTTATTTTTCTAAATAGAGGCCCAGTGCATGAAATTCATGCATGGGAAGGGTCCCTAGGCCTGGCCAGGAATCAGGGCTGATCTGTGGGGTGGGGCGATTAGGGGGTCCATGCTGGCACCCACTTTGGTTGGCCTGAGACCTTTGGGCAGGGCGCTGCTCCTGCATAGAGCATCTGCTCCCTGGCTGTCAGTGCACTTCAGTGATCAGTCATTTCACCATTCTGCTAATCGGTCAATTTGCATATTAGGCTTTAATTACATAGGACTAGAGGCCCAGTGCATGAAATTCGTGCACGGAGGGGTTCTTCAGCCAGGTCTGCACCCTCTCCAATCTGGGACCCCTTGGGGAATGTCCAACTGCCAGTTTAGGCCAAATTCTGGCAGTCAGACATCCCTCTCGCAATCTGGGATAACTGGCTCCTAATCATTTGCCTGCCTGCCTGCCTGACTGCCCCTAACCCTTCTGCCTGCTGGCCTGATCGCCCCTACTTTCCCCCTCTACCTACCTGATTGCCCCTATCTTGCCCACCTCCCCACCCACCCTCTTCCGCCTGATCACCCCTAACTGCCCTCGCCTGCTGGCCTGATCTCACCACCAAATGCCCTCCATGCTGGCCTCATCTTGCCCCCAAATGCCCTCCCCTGTCAGCCAGCCTGATTACCCCTAACTTATTCTACCTCAGCCCCCACCACCATGGCTTTATCCAGAAGAAATTCAACTGGTCTAATTAGCATATTACCCTTTTATTAGTATAGATAGATTATATAGGATAGGATTGTTTAAATGGGGGAAGAGGAGCCTTTTCTGCTCTTGGCAGAAAAAAAAAAAAAACAACACATAATCCCTATATCTGGATTTATAGCCAGCCATATGGACTATATGCCAAACTGGTCATTAAAAAATTGAATCACTTTCTTACACCTTACACCAAACAGCTGTTGCCCTTAAACCCTTCCTCAGCCCCCACCTTAGGTTCTGCCTTCCCAGTTTACCCAAAATAAGTTCTGATTGGTCTGTTTCTATGCCAGTCAGTGTCAAAAGCTCTGCCTCAGAGAAACTAAGATGGCAGCATAGGTAAATGCCTAACTGTAGCCTCACAAAACAATTTCAAAATATACAACTAAAATATAAAGTGCACATCATCCAGAACTACAGGAAAGTTGACTGACTAGAAATTCTACAACTAGAAGGAAAGAGAAAACCAGAAGGAAAATCAGAGGAGCTGTAAAAGCTCACTGGAGACACGGTGAGCACGTGGGGAGAGGACAGAGCCAGAG